CCTGCTGAATTTTCCTTTATAGCACTTATCACCACCTGACATAGCTTTAGTTGTACACTCATTTATTGTTTGTCTCCCCCCATTAGAACGTAAACCAAAGAACAAACAAGTTTCATTCATTGCTGTGCCATCAATACCTAAAACACGGCCTGGCATGCACTAGGCATCCAATAAATATTATCTAAATAAATGATTATATTACATAATCTAAAAAAGAATTCTTCTTTAAAGGTAGATATTTTAGCTCTGGTGGCAAGGGGGAAGGATAAGCGCTTTAGACCAAAAGGGCATCTTAGGGCCACTTAATTTTTATCACAAAGGAGTTAATTGTTCTACCTGTATGGGAGAGTTAATCAGCTCTGCGCTCTTACCACATTTTATATATTCCTTTATATAGTGCACGTCACCTCCTGTGATATCATATCTGCTCCCTACTGAACTGCAATAGCCTCGAAGACAGGAAACATGTCTTATTTATCTCTGTATTCCCTTAGCGGTCCTCATAAATGTTTGCTGAACCAATGTATAAAGTTGGTGGTGTTATAATTCTCAGACATCCTGTACGTTACAAATAAAGGAAATAGAATAGATGCTAGAATAACTTTAATAATTTTTTTACAGATGAAAATGGCAACATGATTTGCTTGAATTTGGGTGATGGCACATCAATTGCTTTAATGGAAACCAAGAACCAAGAAGGGTTAAACTACATGGTACTTGCTACAGAATGTAGCCAAGGTGAAGATAATTCTGAGGGTCCTCTAGACTCCAAGGAATCTGAATCGTGTGGTCTGAGGAAAGAAGAGAAGGAACCACATGCAGACAAAGGTATCTGCCAAGAAAAACAAGTGGCTTACTGCCCTCCTGGCAAGCCTGAAAGCCTGAACTATGCCTGTCTCACTCACAGTGGATATGGAGATGGGTCTGATTAATAACTCTGTTTGGGAAATGCAGAGTTGAAATAAACACTCCCATTAAGTAGTCACGGAAAGAAAACCAACCCATGAAGAATGATAGATGTTGTGGTTGTCTGAATTAACGCTGGAGAGTTCCTGGATTTTAATCTTGGTTCCGAAAGCCACTTGGTTTCAGTTCTGACAATCTCCATACCAACTGTCTAAACTTCAGCAAAATTCCGAGGCGCACCACTGAGCGTTTGGAAAGCTTAGGGAGACTCATGAGTCTGGAAGGGAGACCATTGTCCAACCTTCAGTCTGGGCTGTAAAAGAAGCATCTTGGTCTATGGTTAGAGACAAAGTAAGGACCTGGAAAAGGGGGATGAGAAACGTGCTCAGAAGCCCGACTGAACTACAAATTATTCCAAAAGGGACCAAGAAAATGACTACATCACTCTACACATACCAAAGGAACTAGCACCTATGACATGAGAAATCTCTTGGAAAGCTATTGCTGTAATAAGATATTATCTTTAATGTCTATTCTAAAATATTTTGTTTTTTGAAGGTTTTGAACAGCAGCTTCAGTCATATTTAAAATAGGACCATGAAGATCTCTAAATCTTGAAGTTTAGCATTCTGCGATCTTTGGGTTGTATGAAAATCGCTCTGTGACTTGTGCGCTGTTATAGAGATTAGCTAATATGAAGATTCTTTTTATTTGCCATATCTATTTTATATATAAAGTACTTAAGATTACATTTAATAACAAATTATCCTTAAAATTAAATGTAAATGATTATACAATGTTAATTCAAGCTCTGTGATTTTTAGCAACGACATGAAATAATAAATACCTAATGAGAACTATTTAAAAAATTCTTCAGAGAAATACTATGATTTTAAGCAAATTTTTTTTTCTTTTTCTTTTTTTTTTTTTTTTTTTTTGCAGCTACTCATTTAAATCTGAAAGCCTCAACTGCTCTAATAGCAACACTAATGAAAGCATTCTGGGTGTTATTCAGTTGCAGCATACAGGATGCTTGCTAGATATACAGAAAACATTTTGATTCTAACATTTGCGAAAATCTACCACGAAAGAGGGACACATATCTACTTCTACCTCGGATAATTTAGTTCATTTTAAAACTTGCCTACTGTCTGAGAATCTTCACAGATTATTGGCTGTATGGTGAAGAATGCAGGGAAGTCCATGTATTCTGTGGTGAACAACCTCCAAGTAAAGATCCAGGATTTGTGGCTACTCTGCCACATTTGTAATTCCACTGAACAAGACAGGATATTTTCTCTGTTATTCTGACCCTCTAAAGGGCATTTATCATTCTTCTTGATAGCCTAGCATATGATACCCCTTCCTGTTTTAGGGAATTCCTCTACCTTCATCTTCTGGGTAGGAACTGTGTTCCATTTGCTCCTCCAGGATCCCTTGCTGCAAGAACGCAGGCAGGTGACCTGGCCCCCACCACACAGACACATCTACCACAGGCTTCTAATTGAGAGCTGAGGATGCAGAGAAACAGGGATCACAGCAAGTCTTTCTGGTGATGGTGGCAACTGCAGTTGGTCTGGCAGGACTGCAGAGTCCAGGGCCAACACAGTTGGCAGAGCAGAGTCTGCAGTTTGGTGCCTCTGGCAGCTGGGGTAACCAGACTGACCGGTTCTGCTGTCTGCTTCTAGCCATTGCTTCCGGCCGGAGTCTGGTTCTCAAGCCCTCCCAGGGATTCTGTGAGTTACCCCTATATCCTTTTAATAAATGTTAAATCTGCCAGAGTCGGTTTCTGTTGCTTGCTACCAGGACTTTTGCTGTGCCAGTGCTATGAACCTTTATTCTGAAAAACACAAAGAGATCAGAAGTATGTAGAATTGGATTTTTAGTACAATGCTTTTACATTACACTTTGAACAATAAATAAATCTATAGAATATCTGAGAACAGCCCATAAAATATCATGTTTCAGCTAAAATGTAAGTGCAGATTAGTAGTCTTTTTTATAACTCATAATAAATAATATTGGTAGAAATATGTAATGCTAAATAAAATAGTGGCTCAAATCTCACAGGTAAAATTTATTACAGATAAAAGTAATTTTTAAAATACAAATGACTGGTAATATTAAAAACTTATAAGTTAACTTATAAGTTAATTTGTGAAAATTAGATTTTGTAGTCAAGAGGAAGAAAATTGACAGTGGCTAAAAATGGCACTTGTTAAAATGTGTTTTTCACTGAAATGTAACAGAGGTACAGAATCTTATTGACAAATTTTTTATCTGCAAAATATGACCTGGTAATATTAGACTTGGGAGAAATAATGACTCCCAAAGGCAGAAGCTATAATTGGTAAAAAAAACAAAACAAAATATACAAAAGTTGATGAATAAATCTAATCTTCACTTTAAGTTGTTCAAGGAGTTGTAATAATCCATAAGGAAAGTATGTAAGTTGAAAATAAAAATACATTGTTCATGATTTAACATTGCCAACTGAACAAAAATTTACTTTGGTAAAATTAACATGTTGATATAATTCTGATAAAAAAGCTTTATTGAACATGTCTTTGAGAAAAGAGCCCATCCCTGGCCCCAGATATACTCTATGTGGCTTATCTATTCCAGTTTTCCCTGTCCTGTTGAAATCTCCTCACCCATTCTCTGCTTATCTAAATCTCACTCATTCTTTAGGATCAGAGTATATTCCAGTGTTTTAGAAAAGCTTGTCCCTAAACTTCTTCCCTTTCCCTTCTCAGAATTACTGTTGCCTTTCTTGTCTTTACTCCTCATTTGGAAGTAACTACATGTAATTCCATCCTATTTCTATGTTATTGTACCTACTTAAGTGAAGTTCCAGCTTTCTGAAGATCAGGTGGTGTCTTCTAACCCTTTGTATCTTCTCTAAGTCAAAGTAGGTATTCATGTTTAATGGATTAATTGGCTGATTTTCTCATCATCCTTTTTTAACACATTGCACAAGTCCTCACTTGTAGCTCATAGGAGGAATGCCAGAAAATTGGTCTAATGCCAAAGGGGATTCAAAAGGATTCTTTTGATGCTGAGTCATGTCCCAAGACCTAGACAGACTATAGAAGTTGGAGGACTGCTTTGAGATTAAGATCAGACTTAGATAGGACCTGAAATTCTGGAAGCCCTTGAAATGGTGGTGAACATATGCTAAAAGAGGCAAAAATTTATTTTATCATTATCAGTTTCTCCCCTGTCTCAAACCCACCTTTTATCCTCAGAATGGCCTTTATGGAGATAGGTTAAATTTTAGGTATACTTCTCTTTGATCCTCTCCTCTTGGTAAAATAAAACCAGTCTAACTTTGTGTTTTATAGTTGGTCAGGGCTATGGGGTGCCTGAATCAGATTACCTACCCAATCTTTATAGGGTTTTTCACAACAAGAAGACTCAAGGGTCCAAAATATACCACCCAAATTCTATTGTGAGTATTTTAAGGTATTTTCTTCCAGCTTTTTGTTTTATTTTCTTCTTAAATGTGAGCTTATTGTCATGGGAGGAGTAATTGTATCTCTCCTAGTTTTGTTTTTTTTTCCACTTAACATGATAGCATATGTTTTCCCCCTTATCATTAAAAATTCCTAATAGCTGCAAAAACAAAAACAAAAACAAACAAACAAAAACTCTTAGGATGAATTAGCTCTGGTTTACCACTCTCTTGTAGATCTACACATTCATTCATTCTTTCACAATAAATATTTATTGAGTGCTTACTATGCAGGAAGTATCGGCACTTGGAATAGAGAAATAAATACAAGTCTCTGCCTTGATGGAGGTCACTTTCTAGCATTCTAGTTGGGAAGCAGACATGATAAATAAACAAAATGCATCTGACAAAAATTACATATATGGCATGACAGAGGATGCTGACAGTTAATAGAAATAGGTATCAGGGACAAGATATAGACAGAGAGAGAGAGAGTAGTTGCTATTTAACATAGGGTAGCCAGGGAAGGCCACTCTGATAAAGAGATACTTAGGAAAGACCTGAAATAAGTAAAAGAATGGGTCATAAGAATATGTAGTAGAAGATAAAGTAACTTCAAAAGCCCTCCCTGAGATGCAAACATGCTTGGCCTGCATAAGGAACAGCACTAATAAGATCAGGAGTAAAGTGAGGGAGGACAGAATGTTACTGGAGGTCCGATTATGCAGGCGTCGTAAGCTAAAAAATAATCAAGAACTGTGTGACATAAACTAGGACTATCCCAGGCAAACTAGGACATATGGTTACCATACTTGTGAATAACATTTGACACAATTCATAAATCTATCCTTCAAACATTTTGTTCACTTGCCTTCCAGGATTCCAATCTCTCTTGATTTTCCTACTACTTTTTAAACCCTTCCTTCTTAGTCTTCTTTGTAGGTTTCTCCTCAGCTCCCCAATGTCCAAACATGGGAATGACTCTGGCCTTAATCCTTGGACTTCCTCTTTATTTAATTTACTACTGGTTAAGTAGATCTAAGCTCATGGCTAGTTTTAGCCTCATCTTCATACTGATGACTCTTCATCCTGGACACCTCTTCTTAATCCCCTCTCCAACTTCATACTCAGCTTCTCCCCTTGGATCTCTAACAATCATCTCAAAACTAACATATCCCAAACTGAACCTCTCATTGCCACCCCACCTCTCAAAATGAATCCTCTCTCCTGCAGCCTTCTCCATAAGTGGTAACTTCCATTCTTCCTACTACTCAGTGATAGCCTGCTTTGCAAGCCAGAGCTGATGGTAGGAGAGGCCATCCAGATGTGGGTTTGTTAACATCCATGGGCATGACACAGCCTTGAAATAATGTCTGCACTAGGAGCCTGAGGAGTCCCATCCATATAATGATGGAGAGGCAGTCAATGGGATTGACCATAGAAAGTTATGGAGATGGTTTAAAAAGCATGTTGTCCCTAGGGCAAAACAGATTGGCAGCTAGTTTAACATCTACAATCAGAAAAAGGCAAAAATGGAGGAGGAGGAGGCTGGTGTGGTCATTCCAATAAAAATTATGATCCTTGCTACTTGCTCAAATCCTATTATCCTTGATCCTTGCTCAAATCCTAGATCTGAGCATTTTCAGATCCATAACCCATTGACTGAAAAAGTGGACAGGTCCTAGGTAGAAAGTAACAGCATCACAGTATATATTGTAATGATTTCCCCTACAGGAACTATGGCCAGTTCCTTTAGTGATTGTGCCTTGGGGAAGGGGGAATTCCCAGGCACCTCAGACTATTGGACACAGGATCTCAGTTGACATTGGTTTTCAGAGACCTGAAGCATCATCGTAGCCTATTTCCGTTAGAGTGGGGTTTATGGAGCCAGATATTAATTGAGTTTTGGCTAAAGTCTAACCTACAATGTGTCCATTGGGTCCATGGCCCCAACAGTGGTCATTTCCCTACTCTTCAAATGTGTGATTTGGATCAACGTACTTAGTGATTGGATCATTGGATACTTGGCTTGTGGCTTAAAATATATCATGGTGTGGAAGGCCAAGTGGAAACCTCTGAAACTACTGACCTCCTCCCTTCTCTCCTCTGGCCAGCAATAGTCAGTAAAAAATAAAATCCCAGGAGGATGACAATGATTAGTGCCACCATTAAAGATCTGAAGGTGGTGGGGTTTATGGTTTCTATATCTCCATTTAATTCACCAGAGCCCTATAGAAACTGGGTGAATCCTGGAGAATGTAGTCCTGGTGGCAGTTGCTATGCCAGATGTAGTATTTTTGCTAGAACATATGAATAAGGCCTCGTGTGCATGGTATGTGTCTTGTTTATCAGGATATCTTAACTAATGAGACAAGTAAAAGGACTACTGAAAATTGATCTTCATATGGAGCTGAT